GATCTTTCAACCTCAGTTATTGTATATGATGTATGCGAGCATAATTTGTCTGCGCGATTCGTTACTCGAAATATATCCTCTTAACATAGTCGGACTGTTTTTTTAAAAATTTTATTCCAAAATTGGTATTTGATAAAATAATTCCATTTTCCTAAAAATCCCTTTCAGATAAAAATATTAACTAATTTTCATTGCTTCTAAAATAAATTTATATTTTATAAATCCTTAGTATATTGATAAACAATTTTTATTTAATGATAAATGGCAGAAAGTTTAATTAACCTTCTTTTATTCAAGATTTTTTAAAGGAAAATCAAAATTTATTTAAATGTTTCACATTATTTATCATATTTTTACATTATTGTGTAAAATTTTTTCCCGGGTGATAAATTTTTATTTTTTAAATGTATAAGTAACGAATAGTGGACGCCGTGTCTAGTAGTGGGGCGTAATGAGAAGTGATTGGTACGTTTACGCATTATCCCCTCTTAATTTTTTTCACAAGTTGCGCGCGCAGTGTTCGCATCTTATATAATACATATTAGATTGAGAAAGACGCGTCTAAAAAAAATTACGCTATTTCTTACTTTCCAATAATACGAAATAAGTTTTCAATTTACAAAAATTTGAAAAATGTCGAATTTAATGCAATACGATTTAATATGGCAATTAATAAAAATTTAAAACTATAAATTCATATTTAAGTTGAATTTATTCAAAGTGAAAATTTAACAAACTTCGTTAAAACTATATATTATTAATTTATAAATTATCCCCATATTAATCTGATGTCAAAAAAGTTTAATGAACATTCTCCTCGGTAATATTTTAAGAACAGATTTCGAAAAAGTGGATATAAACTAAATATATATATATGTGCAAACAGAAGAGGGAAAATATTTATATGTATAAGTAGATTACACATATATATATATACTTTAATCATAAGTAGTGCAAAGATTAAACACTATTCTAGGCTGCATAAATCATCACTGCAATTACTTGACCCCAATACTTCTAGTATCGAATCATGTTTTCGCAACGTTGCCATACAGATATATATAATAATTAAATAGATTCCTGTAACCATTCGGATAAAATATTAATTATCCACGAGAATGTGAGAAATTTACTTTAAAATATTTCTCCTATGAAATCCTATATCATAAAAAGATTTTATCAAATTTGATATTTTTAAAAAAGGAACCGCCCTAATCTCAAATTTTACTAATTAATTTTATTAATTATTAAATTAAAAAAATTGATACATTTAGTAATAATGCGAGACACGAATATTCTGCACGTTAGACTTGGCGGAATTTTTGTGGTTACAAATTTTTTATAATAGTATTTTCATTAACCTGAATTGACATTTAACATAATATTTATATTTTTAAGGGTGGATAGTATTTTCATTAACCTGAATTGCCATTTAACATAATTTATATTTTTAAGGGTGGAGGCTCTAACATAACCTAAAAACTGAAAAATTGTTTTTAAACGCAAACAAAAAGATAATAAAAATTAAATTTTTTAAATTGTTAAAAGTACTTTATTAAAAATTATAAACAATACAAAAAAACAGTTTTTCAGTTTTTGAGGTTATGTTAAAGCCTCCATCCTTAAAAATTTAGCTAACAAGTTGAGTTTCTGTTAAATAAGAATTATATTCATTTTTTGAAAGTATACTTTCATTATTGTTTTAATTATTTTTAATATTCAATACATACAGAAAGTTAAAAGGCTACATAACCTAAAAGTTTTGCCCTGACTACGTCTTACTCCGAGGTCTAGGGAGCCAGTGAGAAAAATTAGCGTTCATATCGCCGCCGATTTCTCGAAAACTATAAGTCATATTTTCACGATTTTTGTGTTATTCCATTACTTTCGATCTAATCTCGATGCCAAACTTATTTTTGTCAAATTTGGAAATGAAATTTTTTATAGTTTTCTATGTTACCGACCGGTTAAAGATTTAACATGTTAGTATACAGCGCTATTGCTGACAGTATCTACTATACCTATATTTGTATAATTGTCAAAATAAACATGGCTGCCGAAGCTGTCACTTTGTTTTGTTTTCGTGTCGTTATTCGAGGAAAAAAATGTGGAGCGATCGTGTAGTGTACTGTGGTGTTGGCCTGTGTACATAATATACTCACAGTATTGCCAATTGCTGAAATTTTGCACCGGAATAATATCAAAACATAACCTCAATCTTGGATTTATTCTTTTCAACAATTGTTATAATTAACTGGTCCATCACAATTCTTGAACAGAGTAAATCCATAATTGAGGTTATGTTTTAATATTATTCCGGTGCAAAATTTCAGCAATTGGCAATAATCTGGCATTTCGTATTGAATATTTTTAAATTTAATTGTTAGGAAATTATTGTCAGTTTATTCTAATTTTATGCACTGAAAAAAAATTTATTTGATTCAAATAATCGGTTACTTGATCATTATTAAATAAATATTTATTTGTATCAAATAATTATTATTTGAGTCAAATAAATGGTATTTGTTTCAAATACAAAAATTATTGGTTCCAATACAATTTATTTAATTCAAATAAAAATTATTTCGTTCAAGTATATAAATATTTATTTGATAATAGTCAAGTAATCAAGTATTTGAATCAAATAATTTTTTTTCAGTGTGTTTATGTACAAAATAAATACTAAATAATAATCTTATAAAATATATTTTAATTAATTAAAAAAGACGTTGTCACGATCAAAATTCTTCGTCCGTGTAATAAATACAGATCCTGTTTTAATTTTTTATATTTTATAAATTTTGCACTTATTTTGTTGCTTTCAGTTTTATTTATTTATTTATTTATGTATTTTAATATCATAAAATGGTATTTTGCAAAAGAAAAATATACTTATTTAACTGATAGCAACAGAATAAGTGAAAAATTTATAGATAAAAAACAACTTTTAGGTTATGTAGCCTATTAACTTCCCGGTTTGTAAATTTACAACTTGATGACAGTATTTTTATTGCATCCGACGTAGTAAAATTACACTAGCATTTTTTTTGTCTCTATATATACTATATTATAGAATGGGTTCAATAAAAGACATCTGATGTCAAATTAAGTGGGAAATAGAAACGAATAATTCGTCAAATGTCGATTAATTAAGGCACCAAGTAAAGTGATTGCCTGCGTTAGAGGAAAGTATAACAAAAAAAAAACATTTTAAAAAGACTTTGACGAAGCCGATAAATTTCGATTACACAATATAAAAAAAAGTCTAAATAACTTTTAGAGGTTATGAAATCTACCGTTACACGAGCTGACATGATCAGATGTACCAACCATGTAAAAAATGCGCCAAATTTAAAACAGAATATAAAGAAAGCTGTTCCTATTGAATAATAATAATTAATTTTGTAATAAATACATATAATACAAATAATAATAATAGTAATAACAACGACATATTGTTGTACTAATTGTTACCATCGTCTTTTTGATTAAAACGCCATTGTTTACCTAATGACATAAATATACATCAAGATTTCTTTTAATTCCTAGAAGTCTTCACTCTATGTTTTTAAAAAAAAGAACATTGTCTCAGAAATATGCCTCATTTTGCATACGTCCATGATCTAAATCTAAAGACGAGAGAGAAAATAATTTTCAATTGTAGATATTCTATCAAAGATAAACAATACATAGTTGTGATTAGTATTTTATAAAATATATTCTAAAATGAATTATTACATATGTTTATATAAATTTTTTATATATCTTTAGGGACAAAGAGAAATCAAAATTTTCGAATACATTAAAGAAAATTGTGATGGAAATATATAAAAAAAATTCGATCACCGACGTTTTTATTATAAGAATATTTAAACGCATTTATTTCTTTGGATTATAAAATACGTTTGTGAAAAAAAAAATGTGAAAAAAAACAATAATATTTGAAATGGGGGGAAAAAAAATCTCTTCCAATATATATATATAACGATGCACTTTCTAAAATCAATTATTAATAACTTTTCTATCACCTGTCCTTTGTGCGATAAAATATGAGAATTGAAATACAGTTTCGGAATGTACAAAAGACACGCCTGAGGCTTTAAACGATTTCAGTCTGATTTTAACGTCAAAGGGGAGGTTCTTCTTATTTATTTCCCTTTCACAATAACGCAGTAACAGAAGAATAAAAAAAAGAGTTATATATATATTTCATTTGATGTAAGATAGGACACTAAATTTTTTTTTGTCACAAATTTTTCCTCTCTTTTTTTTTATCTTATTCATTAAAATTAAGGAAGTAATTTGGTTTATATATATTAGAAATCATTTTTATATTTATTTCAACAAGAAATTGCAATGGAATTCAAGTGTAATTACATATATATATATTTTTATTTATTATATGAAGAAACAGATTTCATGAAAAAAAATTATAAAATTAAATATGTCTTAATTTTTTTTATTTTGCGAAATGTCTTTGAAATTAAAAAAGAAATTTATCGTTTCGCATTTTTTTTTTATCATTTTGACTCTAAATATCAACAGTAAATTAGGAAACTAATTTTCAAAAAAAAAATGTAGGTAATAGAAACAAATATGAAGAAATTTTTCGACTAAAGTATGTATGTAGAAAAAAAAATGAAAATTATCCCGATGCGTTTGGTATTATTAACTAAAACTAGAAATTGTTTTTGAGTGATTCGATAAGTGGAAAAGTAACAGAGTAGATCATTCGTTATTTATGGTTACGTCGTTACCAAGTTAACTGATGATCACGATTCTCTCATTATTATTGTGAGTCAAATGTATATATAGTTGAGTGGATGACTTTCCATAACAAGAAGCAAACGAGCTCTATTATTACGTCTTTCAAAATCTAATAATGCGTATGATATTTTGTCAACTGCATTCTATATATATAATTTTGAATAATAATTGTCCCAAATTTCACAATTTATTTATAAATTTTTTTTATTTTAATTATATTTTTTTTCTTTCAGGGCTATTCCTGCATTGACCTTCTTAACGCAGGAATGAGAGACAGTGGCGTTTATTATCTTCAGATTCGCGGTACCACCTACTGGTTCCTCAAGGTCTTTTGCGAACAGGAAATTGCTGATGGTGGCTGGACGGTGAGTTCCGCTTATTAAATATATTAATTAACATTATTATTTTAGTAAAAATAATTAATTCAATTATATTATTGGATTTTTACTTGCGATTAAGACACCATTTGTGGGAAAAAGACATTTTATTTAGAACTCTCAATAACTTTCTCTGAAATGAAAAAAAGGGGTTATAATTATAACACCGTGCGACAAAATTCAACTTTTTTTTTGACCCACAAAAAAATCCCACATTTTCGGAAACTAGGACCCAAAAAAAATACCCGTGTCCGGCTGTTTTGCTAGATCAAGTCGTTTGTGGTTTTTAGGGGTGAAAACAGCCCCTAAATAAAAAGTGACAAGATATCTTTTAAAAATTATTAATATTTTATAAAACTTAGTATCTGGGGGTTTTTGTGGTCGTTGATTATTAATCCTATGTCAGATTTTCAAAATTCAAAATGGCAGATTCAATATGTCGGTCAAAATTTTAAAAAGTTATTAAATTTTTTTTAAACCTTGGTATCTAGGAGGTTTTTGGGTCGTTGATGACGAATCTGATGTTAAATTTTCAAAATTCAAAATGGCGGATATAAAATAAAAAATTAATAACTTTTTAAAAATTTGATCGCCATATTGGATCTGACATTTTGAATTTTGAAAATCTGACATCAGATTAATAATAATCAGTGGCCCCGAAAACCCCCAGATACCAAGTTTTATAAAATATTAATAATTTTTAAAAGATATCTTGTCACTTTTCACTTAAGGGTTGTTTTCACCCCTAACAACCACAAACGACTTGATCTAGCAAAATTGCCAGACACGGGATTTTTTTTTTGAGTCCTAGTTTTTCCTATTTTTTTCTAAATGATAGAGAAGTGTATAAGAAACATTATTATTTTACTCATTTTCTATAATTTATCGCAAAAATAATAAAAATAAACCAAACCCAGAGAAATGATATATTTTTCTCACACAGCTTAATAAATATTTATTTGATTCAAATAAATATTCAACTATTGAAATAAATTTTTATTTTTATTTAGGTAAAAAATTTAATTTACGCCAAATAAATAGGCTAGTAGACTGTATAAGACAAATATACGTTTATTTAACTCAAATATAATATTTGGTTCAAATAAAACATTTCTCTGGGTGCAGAAAAAGTAGTAAATTAACTCACGTAAAAATATTCCGGGAATTTAACAGAATTTCTGAAAAACTCCCAAGGAAAATTCATGAGAAATTTCTCAGTATCAACTCCATTGAAAAATTCACGAAAATTTCTTTATAGGAATTTTTTGGGAATTGACTTGAGAAATTTCTGCAAAATTCAGGAATAATTTCTTAGAAAATTTCCAATAGTCAACTCGCAAGAAATTCCTAAGGAAATTCTCAAAAAATTTCCACGAATAATTAAAAAAAAAAAAAAAAAAAAAAAAAAAACATTAAAAATAATTATATACGAAAATTCATTTCCTATTAATAAGTAAAAGAAACTTCTATGCTTTGATTTTATATATAAATTACTTATTTTTGTGTCAGATATTTATGAAAATCTGTTATAATTTTACAATGGGGACAGCATAACCTCAAAAAATAACATTATTAATTTTACATGGTTTAATTATGGGCCTTATTAAGATATTTAATTAGTCTAAAATTGTGTTAATTTAAAATTTTCTTATAATATAATTCCTAACCTAAAAAAAAATTCAATAATTGTTAATAAAATTTATGATACTGAAGAAAATAATTTTTTCTTTCCTAAGATTAAATATTTCCTCGCTTTGGTTGAGGATTTTAAGTGTTTGAGAATGTATTTGAGACCAAAATAAAGAAGTTTCAATAAAAAAAAAAAATTGCTTCTTGGCCTTTAAACGAATCTGAAAACGATAAATTCGTTCCTTCAGCGTCATTAAAATTCCTATAATAAAAATAAAAAATTTTTCAACAACTTTTTAAAAATTATTTACAGACTGTATGTAGTTAAAAATTTGCATACAGTTTAATTAATAGAAAAAAATTTTACTTTATTTTTTGAACAAAAAACAAATTTTATACCACAACACAGTGGTTCAAAATTACAAAATTTGGTTTAAATAAAGTTAATATTGCAATTTTTTGTCAGAAATTAATCGCATTTTTAATCTATTCACAATTTAGTTCTGAGTTAGAGGAAAAAAGAATTTTTTAATTTGGTTCATAATATCGCCCAATATTATAAAAGCAGATGCGATTTTGTGCTTCCTGTATGATTCTGCCATCTGACGGCGGCAGGACGAAACGAAACATATACTTCAAGTAATATTTAGTTTATATTTGGTTTATTTTCTAGTAATATTACTCTTATAATTTCAATATTCAGGTATAGAAGGATAATTGATACAATAGGGTGTCATAAATGGTTTATTATGACCAGATTTTCAGTCGACTCTATTGTTGTTATGTCCCTTTCCCTCCTTATGTATCTTGTAGAAAATTTAATATTTTAATTTAAAATTTAATATTTTAATTTAAAATTTAATATTTTAACAGAAATTGTGCTCCCTGCATGCTTCTGCCATCTGACGGCGACAGGAAGTAACGATATAAAGTCAAGTAACATTACTATATTATTTCAATATTCAGGTATAGAAGGACAATTAATACAATAGGGTGTCATAAATGGTTTATTATGACTAGACTTCCAGTCGACTCTATTGTTGTTATCTCTCCTTATTTTTCTTTCAAATATTTAATATTTTAATATAATATTTTAACAAAAACTAACTATTAGAGCACAATTATGAAATTTGAAAATTCTTTTTTTTATTTATTTATTTAAGGACGAAAATGTAATAGTTTAATTTAATATTTCAACACAAATTGTGCTCCCTGCATGCTTCTGCCATCTGACGGCGACAGGACGTAACGAAACATAAACAAATATTTCAAGTAATTTTACTATTTAATTTCAATATTCAGGTATAGAAGTACAATTAAAATTAATACAATAGGGTGTCATAAATGGTTTATTATGACCAGACTTTCAGTCGACTCTCTTGTTGTTATGTCCCTTTCCCTCCTTATATATCTTGTAGAAAATTATTTAATATTTTAATTTAATATTTTAACACAAATTGTGCTCCCTGCATGCTTTTGCCATCTGACGGCGGCAGGAAGTAACAATATAAAATCAAGTAATATTACTATATTATTTCAATATTCAGGTATTGAAGGACAATTAATACAATAGGGTGTCATAAAGGGTTTATTATGACTAGACTTCCAGTCGACTCTAATGTTGTTATCTCTCCATATTTTTCTTTAGAATATTTAAAATTTTAATTTAATATTTTATCACAAATTAACTTTTAGACCACAATTATAAACCAAATTCGAAAAGTCGTATTTCCTCTAACTTGGAATTAAAAATTTAATTAATTTCTAACCAAAAAATATGGTACAATGTATTTGTTTATATAAATTGTTTACAAAATATAGAAATAAAATTTATTTCACAACAATTGATTAATGAAAAGAAAATTTATGGGGAAAAATTTAAAGCATATTTACTCAAAAAAAATAATTGAATTAAATAAAAATTTTAATATCTAAATGATAGAATATCTAATTAATTTACTTTTTTAGACCATTGATTTGTATTGTGAATAAGTTAATAGTATAAATTGATTTAAAAATGTTATTTAAATATTTTTTAAAAATGAAAAATAGTGAAAAGTGTTTTAAGAATATTAGGATATTTTATTTTTAATTTGGAAAAAAATAATAGATATTGTATTTAAAATCTTTTATTCAATTGATAATTCTTTAGTTTATTTTTGAAAAAAGTTTTTTTAAGTAGCTGCGACTTTGTGCTCCCTGTATGCTTCTGCCATCTGACGGCGATAGGACGAAACGAAACATAAACAAATACTTCAAGTAATATTAATATTTAATTTCAATATTCAGGTATAGAAGGACAATTAATACAATAGGGTGTCATAAATGGTTTATTATGACTAGACTTCCAGTCGACTCTATTTTTGTTATCTCTCCTTATTTTTCTTCTGAATATTTAATATTTTAATTTAATATTTTAACACAAATTAACTGTTTGACCTCAATTATCAAGAAAATGCAAAAATTCTTCTTTCCTCTAACTCAAAACCAAATTCTGAACAGATTGAAAATTTAATTAATTTCTGACCAAAAATTGCGACACAGTGTTTTTTTTAATATAAATTATTTAAAAACATAAGAAAAATTTATTGCAAAACAATTATATAATAAAAAATAAACTTACTTCCAAAAATTCGAAGCAAATTTATAAAAATACAAAAAAATTTTTTTACCTTAAATAACCGTAAAGAGTAATTGTTTTGTAAAGATTGTCTATATAAATGATAAAGTTAATTGCAAAAAAATTTTTTGATAAAAATAATATTTTAGCGGCTTAGATTTAACATTAATTGTAAAAAAATTCGGTAAATTTCTGATTAAAAATGACCGTGCTACATATGTATTTGTTTATAAAAAATGTTTTAGAAAATAAAAAAATTGATCGAAAAACAACTTTTTTTATTAAAAAAAAAATTTTTAATCGCAATAATTGAAAGCAAATTTACTTGACAAAAAATTTTTTTATTTGATTACTAACAGCCTTCAAACAGAAATTATTATATAATTTCTTTATAACAATTTTTAGTGTAAAAACTTTTTTTTCATAGTTATTTTATTCCAAAATATTATTTTTTAGATGGAAAAAAATTATATTAATGTGGCCATTTTAGATATATTTCCCCTATTTATTTGTTATTTTGAAAATAACCTTACAGTATGACGTCAAAGCGAAACACAAACAAATAATTCAAATAATATTACTATATAATTTCAATATTCAGGTATAGAAGAACAATTAATAATAATTTAATACAATAGGGTGTCATAAATGGTTTATTATGACCAGACTGTCAGTCGACTCTATTGCTGTTATGTCCCTTTCTCTCCTTATTTTTCTTTTAGAAAATTTAATATTTTAA